GACGCGTTTTTGTAGAGATGATTACCTATAGAATCTTTTCTATTCTATTTCATGCTTAGCAGAGCACCCAATCATATTTACCAGCTGCTCGTTCCTGATTGCTGTGCGTTACATGTAATTGTGTGAGCCAGCGATAAACATTAAAACCGGATGTGTTTGTGTATAAAGCAACAGACTTTCGTTACGTATAACAGCATAAGCACATCACCTATCAATTTCTTTTAAGTGTTTACTAAGAACAACAACATAACCGAAGGCTTGAGCCGACCTTAGAACGGTACACTTTAGTTAGGCTTGCCAGCGGTCACATAATCTCTACACATGTACAAGTGACAAGAGGATGAGAAATATCAATTAAAGAAAGCGGAAACATTACAAACGCTGGACGTAAATGATAGGACGAAATTGACATAAGAGCATAAAAAGGAAAAGAAATCTGAGATAAAATATCTTTAGCTTATACTGCAAAGCGGACCCGGCATAGCCAGGTGGTTAGGGCGCTCGACTCGCAATGTGAGGGTCGAGGGTTCGAATCCCCGTCACACCAAACGTGCTCGTCCTTTCAGCCGTGGGGGCGTTATTATGTGACGGTCAATCCCACTATTCGTTGGTAAAAGAGTAGCCCAAGAGATGGCGATGGGTGGTGATGACAAGCTGCCTTCCCTCTAGTCTTACACTGCTAAATTAGGGACGGCTAGCGCAGATAGTCCGCGTGTAACAAACAGTATACTGCAAAGCAAAACATTACTGTGACAAATCCTAAAGATGTTAGGGCATTAACCAAACTGTGTGGGCGTACCCTACCAAACCATGACATTGATGTATAGCAGTAAAAGTAATAAGGGGCTTTTTCCAGTTTCTTTTGTTTGTTTTGTATTGGAAATCATCAACAAACAGCATATGGTTGGATGTATGGCTCGGTCTTCCACTCTCGATTAAGCACCTAAACTTGCTGTATTATTTGTGGTTATCACTGCCGATCAGCACAGTTTTCCTTCATTCTTTCGCTCCTGGCAAATGTTTTATGGTTGATAAGCTTTGTCCTGTTATGAACTTTAGAAAAATTTGTGGGTGAATGTTATGATAAATAACACAAAAATCCTAACTTCCACACAATTTATTTATAACATGTTATTACAGTATTCGTTATTATCTCACCAAAGGTTTTGTATAAGCTTTAAGAACACAATATGTATTTATATACTTAAAACATGGTTTATATACACTGTGCTATGATGAGGGTGACTTTGTATGAAGAAGTTGTGGCTAAAGTAGTGGCGGTAGGTGTGTTTCTGTTACCCGCTTTTAACACCCAGCTTTTAATGTCCTACCACAGTGTTTCAAGTGACTAATTAATTGACGGTCATTGGCCGCAGAAGTGTCTTAAACCGAAGTTGTAAGGTTACGTGTCAAAGTAGGAAGAAAGTGAGCATAACTCAAGAAACTGCTCTTCATAACAGATTTATGGTGGCTTTTGGACGAGTTTATGTAGCATTGAAGTAGTGGCGGCCATTTTTTTTCATTTCGTTTTCTCTAGAGAATGCTAGCGCATTCTCTGATATATATATAGCACGTTTGTCGTACCCCCCCCCCCCCATCGTTTGTATGTTGAGTTATAGAAAACGGAATAAATGTTTTGGGTTTAAGGACGTGGCGCCATCTATAAATGTAGTTAACGTTAAGGTACGTCAAAGATAATAAATGCTCAATAATAGCAATAGTGTGGGGGTGTAGGGGTTGTGAACCTCGTATTGGCATGCCCCTTGTCCAAACTATCATCCCACAAAGTTTGGTTGAGATTGGGTCAACGAACTAGGAGTAGTTAGATAACGGACAAACAGACAGACAGATTTTTTCTGCTTTATATATATATACACATGAAATTGACAAGTAATTTCTCTTGGAATTTGTATTAAATCAAATTGCATTTATAAAACGAGAGAGAAGATTCAAAATACTACTATTTGCGAACAATTTTCAGACTGTTTTAAGGTTTTAGACACTATAAAGCTACTAAAAGGATGAGTGGGTTGAAACTGAGAATTAGAAGAACAGATAGCAGTGTACTGGAAAAAAATCATTATTTTTGTATTTTGTACTACTAACAATAACTTACATGTATAATTCTTCCAATAATTTACGTTTACTCCATTTTCTTTTCCAAGATATTATTAAGAACAAAACAAAGTAACTTTTCTTGTTAGTTTAAACAATGTTAACAATTCTAGAGTGAAACGTATATTCGTTGCATGTTTATTTTGTATGAACACGTATAAAAAAATTGATTGGAAAGCAATGAGGTCTTCATTTTCCTGCACACCACGAAGTTTTCATACACCACATGTGCAGTTTTTTTTATCACGCCAGTGACTACATAGAAACTCGGATAAAGCCGTATAGATTATAAAATATGTGATTTTAATTTGAAATTAGGCGAGCAAATAAGCTACACCGTTAGTACTGCCCCCTAGTAGCACAGCGGTATATCTGCGGACTTACAACGCTAGAATTGCGGATTTCGATACCCGTGGTGGGTAGAGCACAGATAGCCCATTGTGTAGCTTTGTGCTTAATTACAAACAAACAAACTGTTAGTACTAATATAGTCAATAAATATGGTCGAGAATGGGCATATACTGCAGAAATCGTTCTGATCAAGAACGCCCACATGCAGCCATGACTAGGAACGCCATGCAATGCGTCCGAAAACGTAAAACAAGATGAATGAAACGTGTTAAAACGTTCTTTATGAATCAGTCAGGCGTTACCTTGATGTTCCACCCGTATAGAAGACGCACATGATTATAAGCATCTTCTGCGATATTGAATGTCGGATAAGATATTGAACGTTCTTTTCCATTGTATTTTTCGTATAATTTATCAGAATAGTACTTGAAATTCTGTTTTTGGATCATGAAGAACAGGAATGTAATTTTTTTTTTAAGATATGCATGTTTCTTAAAGTTTAATTTTCAGCTTAGCATTCACCTCACCTTGTTTTGTTGTTGTTGTTACATTCAGCACGCTTATCTAACTTGTGGCTGCTGATAGTGATAGGTAAAAATTCGTGTGCTTTTCTAAATATTTCGAGAATTCTTTAGAAAAGATACTTCAAAGTGACAAAAGATTCTGGAATTATAATTTTCTTTGAATATTAGATTAGATACCCATGAATATACAATTTTGAAGAACTTCTAATCAAAAGTAAGTTATGTAGATCCGAACGAATAGGTAGCCTAAATTAATGAAGCCATTTTTTGTATATTCAACTGACTGGAAGTGGTTATCGCCATAAAGTCGTTCACTTGCCAGAAACTAAAACTTGCAGTGAGTTGGATAACCTCGATGTCAACGAGTTTTTCTGGCATAATAACGTAATATCTTACGAGGTTCACTCAGTTTTGAAGATTTGGATTCATACTAAATCCATCTACTTGGCTTACAATACAAAATGATTTTATATATAACAGTGTTAATGAAATTAGATGTAAAGTAGAATAGCCATGTTAATAAAACAAATAACTCCTCTCGGTTTTCTCAGTGTGCCATACCTGAATATACCTATTTGACTTCAACGTATATGTAATTGTGCACATCCGTCAACAAGAAGTGATTTATCGATTACTAGCCGATGTACTCGTTCAACGTACAGGGAAAACATGAGGACCAAATTCGAACGCTGATCCCCCTGTGTCACCCCACTCCCCGACGAACACGTAGGGTACATGCTGAGTCTGTTTGAATCGGTCAAAAGTGATTGATATCTGATGTGGCTATAACTTAACAGCATTTTAAGCAGATTTATTTTTGTAAATTAGATAAATTTTGTATATTAGAAAAACTCCCCACTACTTGTATTGCAGGAAAGGTTAACATACTTACTTTAAAAGCAATTTTTTATGTTTATATTAAGATATGTACAGAATCAGAAAACAGTTTTTTTTTTCAACAACAGTCAAATAATTCCCGTCCTATTCTCATAATAGTTATAGTATACACAATGTATAATTTTTACACAGTAAGTCTTTTAATGTGTATTTGCCCCCAGTGACACAGCGGTATGTCTGCGGACTTACAACGCTAGAATCCGGGTTTCGATACCCGTGGTGGGCAGAGCACAGATAGCCCATTGTGTAACTTTGTGCTTAATTACAAACAAACAATTAATGTGTATTTTAAATAATAATAATAATAATATTAAAAGATCATATACATATGCCACCCTAGTGATAAACCATCAAACTACTCATTTTCTATCTAAAAAGTTGAGTGCATATTTAAACGTTTTGATTTCTACAGTAATTAGACTTCAATTGATACTCTCTGTACTTGCACTTCTCCGCAAACTATACATTAAAATTGACACGTGCTTTGTCTTACGTAAGCAAACGAAAAAAAAATGCCTAAAACACTTAACAAGAAGGTAAAGGTTAGAGGAAACTCGAGAAAGAAGAAAATATTGACAGGTCTTCCGGATTATACCGGATAACATTTATGTTTTTGGTCCTAAGTGCTCCGATTCTCAGCCCACGTAGTCATTTCGGAAATGTATAGATATTCCCTCGTGAATAAAGATTATAAGTGGATGTAAGCCACTCATTTGTACCATGAACGCCCATCCCTTTTGTTAGATTGATATCATCGCTGTCGTTTTCCCGAGTATCAACATCGTTAGGGGGCGCTACTGTCAGCTAAGGCAGTGACGACCTAAAACCCATACACATTGTCACCCAACCTTTTCACAACGAATGCTCGTTAGCGATCCAGCCTTTCAGATCTACGACTGAAGCTTCAGGTCTTCTATTTATAAACTATGTCTTCAAAGAAGCACAAGCGTTAGTATATTAATGGTTGTTTAAACCTAAAAAAATTATTTATTATGATGTATTTGCAACTAATTTAGTTTCGTATATGTGCCGTTTTTTATTGCGTGATTGAAACACTTGGATGTCAACATCTTCTAAGCCTGTTATTTATTTTACTTGTTTTTTTTCACGTAGTTGAACGAGCCAAAAGACTGAACGAAGATTGGAGCGTAGATTCTGGAATTTCGTCTTTTTCAAGTTCCACCGGAGAGAATCATTTAGATGGAGGTAAAGTTTTACCTGTAGAGTATGTTTTGGATTAGCACAAATTTAGTTAACTTTTAAAGCACGTAAGGGAAAGAATAAGTATACATTTAATTATGAAAACAATCGTCAATACTTTCAAAGTGGCCTAGCTGTTAAATTGCTCGGACTGTGAATTCAGGGCTTGTGATTCGCAACCCACTTATCGCAGAAATGCGCTCCGCACTTTGGGGTCGTTGGTGCACAATAAGAGTGATGGTTGAATCCCACTATAACTCGATCAAATAAGAGCAGCCCAATAGTTGGCGGTAGGTGCTGTTGACTAGCTGCTTTCCCTCTTGTATATTAGTTCAGAATAAGGGACAGTTATTCACAGAAAGCCCTTTTTTATAGCATTGCGCGAATATTCTGAAACAAACCAACCTTCACATCCCTTTATATACTCATGCCAGCTGCTGTAAAATCAGGTTTCGCGTTCTGGGGTCTTGGATAGTTATAATTAGATTAGCCCAAGAGTTGGTAAAAGGAACTGTTGGCTAGCTTGCTGCCTTTCCTCAAGTCTATCAGTTCAGAATTAAAGACAGTTAGGAAACATAGACATTGTGTAGAATTGCTCAAATATTCCAAACAAACATATACTCAGAACAGTGAAAGCTTATAATTGTTAAGTAACCTTTATGTTTTTAAGGGAATATCTCATGTTAAATGAACCATGGCGTGTAGATGTTTCAGATTTTAGAAAACATGAACTTATTAGGAAACGAATGTTTCCTTCACAAGCTGAAGAAATTTCTCTCTACAGCATTCTGTGATGTTGAACGCATTTGCCGTTGTTTTAGTTAATTTGCCATAGTAGCATGCGGTTTTATTTTATAATCATAAGATGTTATTTCGAATATCAATTACGAAACCCGTGCCAAAATAAGTGAAAAAATTATAGTTAAGAAAGACAGTACGCCGTTTATGTTAATACTGGCAGGTTATTGAGGTGTTGTACATTATCCATGCTGTTTAAGTAATAAGTGTGCTTATGGTTTTATATGGAAAGTACAAAGAAGAAATATAAAGCGTTATCAAGAATTAAGCGAGTTGATATGTGACTGTGGTTATTGAGGTGTTGTACATTATCCATACTGTTTAAGTAATAAGTGTGCTTATGGTTTTATATGGAAAGTACAAAGAAGAAATATAAAGCGTTATCAAGAATTAAGCGAGTTGATATGTGACTG